AATAAATCTATTGATTGACTTTAATTTGCAACAAATTCGAAAGCAAAATATATATTACAATTACTGATGATATTTTCTAATTTTCTGCATTTACAAACTCTCCCCACTACGAATAAAAGGTCACTGCCATCATTACATGACCCTACAACTACAACTAAACTACCCTATTCCCTTCATTATCATTTCTAGTATTCTAGTTTCCCCTTACATAGGGTTCACTCAAATACCACAACCCCCTTCTTACACAGCAGGAAATGAGTCAGTTTCACGGATATACCATTGTATACTAATAATTGGTGGACAACATCAGTCCTACTGCATTGGGCGTAATTTTATAAAGGGTGTTTTAAGATATTTCAGAATTAAAGGATCATTTGAGAAGTCGGTATAGGGGACATCTATGATATGAGTATCTAAAAAAAACCTCAAAGTTTTTCAAGTATCAGAATAGTGTTCCGACAAACAAGGTGAGTTATATTTTGATTTTGAAAGTATTTTTTTCGTCTTATTGTTTTGTTTTCAATAGTTTTCATATTTCTATGTGACATAATGATGTGTATTCTTCGATCGGTATTCAAGTTTCTATCACCGAAATTTATTTTATATGTATCAGAGTATCAAATATTGATATCAAAATTTTCTGTTTATTATGTTAGCTTGCCGTCTATCGTTGCTTGACTCTTGACATTAATTTTGAATCATTCGATCCAATCAAGAATATATTGAAGCACCAAGTAGGTGAGCTAATGAATAACTTCGTTAAAATAATAATTGTCAACTGTACTTATATGGTTATTTCTCTAGATTCTTGGAGTTTTCTCTTTTTGTCTCTATATAAATCAAAATATTAGAATTATTTCAAACATCATTCCGCATCATTCAAACAAGGTGGCACCGTCAGCGACTGTCAATTGAATTTCTGAATCCATCATCTACTTCATACACCGTCAAATGAGCGTTTTTTTAGATTTTTGTTAATATCTCTGTACGTAAATAATAATTTTTAGCTATGGTTCTAGACATATCAATAGAGATTGAAATTCGGCGTCAAGTGCTTTCCATTTCATACGAGAATGTTATAGAAGTTATCAAACACCCTGTTAAACATTTTGAAATACGTACATAAAGAAAGATTCCTGATAGATTACTGATAAAAAATTCTTATTCTCATTTTATTCGATATCTTATAAAATTAGAACACATGGCGTTTTAGCTCGATTCTCTCAAATTCTTAGTCAGGTACGTATATATCACCCTCTATAGGATAATTTGCGGACTGGAATAAAATGTTGCATGAAAAACTTTCAATGTTGAATTGAAATAATTTCGGTAGGGAAAAATATATCTACCACATTTCGTTACATATTACCTTTTCAAGTATATAAATTTTTCTACAAATATGGAATTGGGGAATTGGGGGATTGGGGTCGTAGTAACACGACTCACCTTAGAAAACATCATCGGTGTTCATTAAAATATACTTCATCACTATAGTTTTATTGCACGGTTTTTATTATGTTTTTTATTAATAGCACTTCCCGAAATGCGTACGAAACCAACATATATCGAAAAATGTAAACTAGAAGGGTGCAATATTCAATAACAATGTAGGTACCTACCTAATATACGTGTATATGGCGCATGTAACCTGGCAACCAGAGACATACCTACGCCTGCGTCTAAGTATATTCGGTTGATTTGGTATGGTATATCCCAATTTTCCCAAACGTCTGTTTCGTTAATTCTGTTTTTTTTTATGTCTTGGAGCGCACGAAAGGGTATTTCTATAATGTGTACAAAAAAGTCGGTAGATCTATTATATACATTGTGTTCTATTTGATTAAAAGTATACCTAATTGTGAACCAGAGACGTAGCAAGTCGAAACAGGGCCCTGGTGCGGGCCCCATTCATTATAACACGAAATAGTTCAAATAATAATGATTTTAGTGCAAAAAAATACATTATAATTACAATAATTATTTGTAAAAGGTATCACAAATAGTAACAAACTCAGAATGTAACCAATAACTGATGTAACGCAAATACAAAACGTACCTATTCTAATCGAACTATTTATGATGAAAAAAGTCAACTTTTCTTGCTTTTTGATTGGCAAACAATGAAATCATTCTATTTATATCTATGTCCTGGCTGTCTTATTTTGTATTGACAAAATTGCTATAAGCTAGAAAGTCTGCTTTGCGACATTTTACTTCTCAAATAATTTTTAAATGATCTCTCCGAACTTGCAACAGAGACGGGAATTGTTAGAAAGAGAATAAAAGCACAGCATATTTCTTTGAATGAGCTCGAGATCATTTGATCGCAAATGACTAATTTCGCCAAGTGATCGATCGAATTGTTCGAAATGTCATTGATCTGATCTTTATAAATGCGCCTGAATGACAAAATTTCTTGTGAAAAGGAAACCGACAAATCATCGGAATAAAAGCTAATCAATTTCTCAGAGAGTACCAAACCAGCATCACTCCGTAATGTGAACAGTTATTTATACACCAAGGTAGTAAAGAATCATTATTACCCAGGGACCAAGATTGTACCCTGAGGCTTCAGCCGAGGGGTATAAGGTTCCGTGGTAATAATATTCTATATTTCCGTCGACCTCGTATTAACGACTAAGTTTAATGTATATGAAATCGTTCATTAATGACCCCTATTAATGACCGATTTGTCTATTAATGCACGATTGTTTCATAGGCAACCAAACATACACCGCGTGCATTCATTGTTTATGCTATGACTTACGGAATCTGCATTTAAATCGAAAATATGGATTTCATCCACGATTTTTCGTTAATGGGTTCGCCTTTCCAAGTTTCTGACACGATTTTAATCCCTGTTTTCTAACACAAGGAATTTATTCCCTATGTTGATCATTTTTTTCACCACTAGCAATATGTTACAATCATTTTAGTTCTATGATAGCGAAATATGGAACTATTGTCACTATGAAAGCACTTATTTTCAATACTTGGACATGATCACGACGGTATATGATAAGTCGTTATTTTTTTTATGTTCTGGTTCCCACGAGAAGGGATATCCTGTAATGTTCAGAGAACATCGTGAGAACCAAGGAAAATGAGCGGTCGGAATTGGTGTTCTTCTTAAATTTCACTTTTCCGTAAAATGATGAAACAGTATTTTGATATTGAAAAATTGTACACATTATTATAGGCTCACAAAATATATTGAAAAAGTGCAGTGTTTTTAACAGTGGTAGAAAAAGAAATTTGTTTTCGATGAATCGAACATTTTCTGAACTCTATGTTTTTTTTTATACGAAATACGGACTCAAACTGCAATATGACAATAAAAAATTTGATGAAATATTAGTATCCATGCATATCTAATCGACGGAGCACACATTTTTTTCAAATTTCGCGCAAAAGTCAACTTGATATTCAGAATAATCTCTATCAGAAAGAAAGTTAAAAAATATATACAATGCCATTTGATAAAAAAAAGTTGACAATCGCGCTGTCGTTAGATATGGAATTGGAAAAAAAAAATTGTTAGTGTCGTCGCCTTGTAGTATCTGATGAATCATTTCATTTGCCCTTCTGTTTTTCAAAATCGGTTGGTTAATATAGCGACGCTATGGCGTTTTTTGTCAGTCACCCTGTATACAGGCTGTATCTAAATAACACCGAAAAATTCAAGGAGTGATTCCTTGTGATATTTCAGGAAGTAAAGTTCATATAAACATTTTTCCTAATTTGCTTCGATCGTTTTCAAGATATAATAGGGTATTAATATTTCCATGAAAAATCTTTTTTCTATTCATTTTTCAATTGTCTTTTCATCAATTTCAATAAAACGTGTGGTTTTGTTCATAGTAATATGGAGCTTCTTCTAGTGCAATCAGATTCGAAATAATATTTCCAGTGGCGTCACAGTGGGTGAATTTATAGATATTCCTTATGAATGTCATTGTACACCACCGGTTTTTCTGAGTTTCATATTTTCATTAGATTGAACTATTGAAATAACAACTTTTTTATCCTTTGTGCGATTTCTGTATCTAGCTTAGTTCTTGAGGAAACAATAAAAATTCGATTTGACTCCATAATGTAACGTGTTTTCAAGACTTTCATTGAGATTACTCAATAACTTAATTTAGAATTATTTTGACATTTTGGGGGTTTCTCAGTCTCCATCCATACTGAATTTTGGCACCATGAAGGCTCATACAGGGGGGTTATAAATAAAAACAATTAATACTTCCAACTTCAACATCCTGTATCGCAAAAACGGAGCAATGCACATGTTTATGTGAAATTTATCTGCTAGAATGTCACAAGGAAACACCCCTTGAATTTTTTCGGTGTTATTTAGATACACTCTGTATAATTATACTAGTTCAATACGACGAAATATCGATACCATATTACCACAGATACAGTCGTATTCAATAAAAAAGCGTACAAGTACCTATTAAAAAGAGATGATTTCGGGATCCCAGTTCTAGTTGTGTAAAACTGGCTCAGCCAATGCTTTGTGTTTTCGAGAACCTATGACAACTTTACTGTCAACATTTGGTGAACAATCATTCCCGATAACCCGTTTTATGGAGAATAGGATGACGTTAATCGTTAATTTCTCTCTGTAATAATATACTTGTACGTTGCTTGTACGCTTTTTTTTGAATGCGACTGTACTTTCAAGAGCACGAATTCAATCTGACCTGAAATGAAGCATCTAGGGACAGGAGGCAACAAATGATCAGTGCGTAAGGCGGAAATGAGTTCTTGACAAATTTCCGGCCGAGAGCTTCGGCCACGGCTGAGATGTTTCGAAGAAGATTTCGATTAATCATTTCGAAAAAAGAAGTAGCAATACTCACCAGGAGTATTATTTCTTGAGACATTGTACTGCTTCATTTCAGGTCAGATTGAATTCGTGCCTTTCAGAAAGCAATTTCAACTTATTGACATTGACACTTGACCTTAACCAAATATTGACAACTTGATTTGTTGAGGTTAGATAAGTTGTTTCAACTTTTTGTTAGTTTTTAGTACAGTGATTTGATATTTTGGCAATTCGGATGCCTAATGTGATGATGATTTAGATGATTATTGTGATTGTGTTATCTGTTCTCACTACTTAAGAGGCAAATCTCTGATACTTACCCACTGATGCTGCTGTCACAGCTAATGTTGATCAGTTTGTGCTGTGCTGAAGTAGGAGTGTAGCAACTTGTTCACAAGATGTATCTTGAATAAGGCGCAAAAATTTTAAAATAATGAGTTCTAAAGCCAAATGCAAAATTAATTCTGATGGCAGTGTGTGTTTGAGTGATATTTTGTGTTCCTTCAATGCATCAGTCAAAGAGGAACATGCTTGGGCTTTATGTTATCAAATTGTCAGGTATTATGATGACTGCCTTCAATCAAGAAAACAAAATATTTTCATCATTAATGAACAGCAGCACGTTTACCTTAAAACTGATGGCAATGTACATGAAAGAACTGGATCGGCCACTGAACCACCTAGAAGATTGCTTAGAAATGAAAAGGAAATAATTGTAGGCATAGGTGTTGTAATCTACTCAACTTTGGATTGTGAAACGCAAAATGAAGAAAAATTGTTGAATCAAGATCTTGAACAGTTGATCAGTGATATGATAATAGATGAACTGAATGTTTTGGATCATAGTCACCATGAAACTGATGATGAAGGCATAGAAAGGGATTCTGAAGAAAGTGAAGAACCAAGTACTTCAAGCAGTAGATCTCATAATATTACACTTCAAGAAGTAATAAGAAGATGTGAAAGTCATTTGGGAAGTCTTACCAAAGTGCAAGCAGAAGCACATTATAAAGCTGTGGTTAGAGCTTTAGTAGCTGAGGCTCTAGAGCTGTCTTTCTTTTTAGAAAAAGTTGCACAAGGAAGCATAAGCTTGCCTTCCAGTAGTACAAACTCCAATTTAGGACAGTTGCAGTTCTCTGATTGGGCTCGGTTCTGGGTACAGGTAATGAATGAACTCAGAACAGGTGTCAAGCTCAAGAAAGTTAATTTCACCAAAGCACCTATAGAATATGAGCTCACCCCCCATGAAGTTTTGATGAAAGATATCAGAAACTGCAAGTACAATTTGAGAAAAATCATGGTGAATGGGGTCCTACCTTCAAGGGTAACTAAAGATGCTCATGCTATTATTTTAGAATTCATTAGGTCCAGACCACCTCTAAAAAAAGTGACTGACAGGAAAATTATTCCACAAACTAGAACTTTGACTCCCAGAGAACAGCTTCTAAGCTCAATCAAAAAAGGACGAAAATTGAGACCAGTGCCAATTCCCAGGTAAGAACATATTATTCTAAATACTCATTTTTTTATCTCTTGGAGTGCATGAAAGGAATTTCCTATAATGTTCAATGCATTCCTAGGAAGAGGAGGTAGGTATTTATTTTTTTTTAAACCTTTGGAGGTATAAGTTCTTGGGAATACTTCCATTGGCAAAGAATTCCAAAGCTTTGCCAGTATTGGTAAAGTCAAGTAAACTGTTGATCAGCATACCTCAAGGTTGGCAACAAAAGGATGTTCAGATGATCAGATTGATAGACTTTTGTAGGTATGTGATCTATGTCAATACCATACCATAATAAATCATCATTATAAGTACTCCTCTCTCTGTATATGTGATTGCAGATGATGACATAGAAAACAATTAACAAAATGAACCCACCTAATTGAAATCCAAGGGAAAATCTGTGGACCTTTTCTATTTCCAATCATCATTCATATCTGTGTTCCAGTTTGGTTCCAATCATGAACTGGATGTGATGCTGCAGAGGGTGGGATGACTTTTCATAACTCTAGAACAAAAAAGAATCAATTAGTTACTCCAAAAGTAGAGGATAATCATTAATATTAATGGTATTTATAGGAATGAAGCTGGACACAATTTTCATTTTCATAACTTGGTTATTCCAGTTGATGTTTTGGCAAGTGTTGTATTAAGGAATCAGGAAGAAGAACTTGATGTCCTTGATGACATGAGTATTGACAGTATTTTGATACTCAGGTGCTCAGGTTTATTTCAGGGGTAAACTGCTGTGGAATTCTGGTGGACATACAACTGGAATTCCTAAGAATTCCCTGGATTTCCTTGAAATTCCTTTGAATTCCTTGGAATTCCCTGGAATTCCTTGGAGGTGTATTCCTGGTATACAAACAACTGGAATTCATTGGAGTTCCTTGAAATTCCTTGGATTTCCTTGGAATTCCTTAGATTTCCTTGGATTTTCGTGGATTTTTTGGGTGAAATGCAGTATAATTCTGGTGTACAAACAACTGGAACTCCTCGGAATTCTTTGGATTGTCTTGGAACTCCTTAGATTTCCTTGGATTTTCGTGGATTTTTTTGGGAGAAATGCAGTATAATTCTGGTGTACAAACAACTGGAATTCCTCGGATTTCCTTGGAATTCTTCGGAATTCTTTGGATTGCCTTGGAATTCCTGGGATTTCCTAGGAATTCCTTGGAATTTCTTGGATTTCCTTGTGTACAAACAACTGGAATTCCTCGGATTTCCTTGGAATTCTCTGGATTGCCTTGGAATTCCTTGGATTTCCTTGTGTGAAGGGCAGTATAATTCTGGTGTACAAATAACTGGAATTCCTTGGAATTCCTTGTGAAATTGAGGTTTGGTGCACACAATTTTGACCGAGGTTTACCCTTTATTATTCTGGGAACGCTAACTGATTGATAGATATCTATATGTGACAGACAAAAATAGTGGCATTCTTTATCTGTGCGGTTATCATTTTTTCCTTTTTCAAAAAATACAACAGCAATTTCGAGACAATTTCAAAATGTATTCGATCGGACCCTTGAGTTCAATAGACATTTAACATCTAGTACAATTTTTCCGTCGACTGACTATTATTACCTGGATTATTACAGTTGTCACATTGATTTGGTATACTTGCAACCAATTTTTTGCATGGTAAAACGGTTAATTAAACATGTTAATAGTTTTTAATAAAATTTGAAATGAAGTGAACAGGTATCATTATTTGATTTGGGGCCCTGTACCCCAGATATTTGCTCAGCGACCCCGTACATTCGGTAGCAGCAAGCAATCCCAGAATGTTTGAAAAAATTCGACAGAGACATGCTGATAATATTGAATGAAAATATTGATGAAAATCAATCGATTTCTCATATCAACATCTCATAAAGGGCTTTCACGATAAGTTGATAGTGACGTCAATATGTCAACACATACAGTGTTGCCAGTTGAAAGGAAATGACTGAATGACCAACCGCCCGAATATGGATATGTCTAGTGTTACGATCGTCGTACGTTATAATGTTTTTTGCAACCAACTCAGAAGCCGTCCATTTATGTTTCGAAATCAGCACTTGAAGTTGATAAATGAACTTCAATATTTGTATTCAAAGAACCATAAACCTAAACAATATACTGAAGATGTCAAGTCAAAATACACAACCGACAGCCAACGTCAAAAACCTGAGCTGTCAGCAGTGAAGCGTGACAAGACCGAGAGTAATAACCATGACCAACGTGAAATAATTAGAATACAAAGATGGAAGGTAGCGCAACTATGATCAACAATAGAGTATTCGCGATAAAAAATAACACGTCGCTCCACCTGACGGCAACAACTTGAACATTTTTGAGCGGTTTGTTTTGACGAAGTGACCAGTAAGCACAAACAAAAAACAAATGTGAACCAATGAAAACAAAGTAAAAAAGCGCTTTGACAGCTTTCGCGAATAGAATTTAGAATAAAATGAATGTTATCTTGGATGTTTGCTGGATTGAAGACCATTAAGTTTAAATACAAATAAATCTCATATAGTCATGGTCATGGTTTGTAGAAAATAGTTATTTGTTTTACTAGGCAGAAAAGTTGTCGATTGACTGCCGCGGCTGATAGTTCATAGCAGAGCGTAGCGAGGCTAGTAATTCAGCCAAGGCAGTCAATCTACATTTGCTGCCGTGTGAAACAGAATTTTTTCTCCAAATGATATAAAACCAATTTGGTGTATTTTTTTTATTGAAAATTCCATCATTTTGTGTTCACCCAATGTCAGTGTCAGTTCTGATTACTCATTTCATTAGAATTTTTCGGAACGTTGCAGAGCAACAAACTTTTTCTGCGTAGGGAGTAAAAGTACACCTTTTCTGCCTGTTAAGCGGCAGGAAAAAGCCATTATTCCTGCCGCTTGGAGAAGAAAATATTTTTCATTATGTTATTGTTTTCGATCTAATGTGACTTTCATACAAGGCCTCTTTTGTTCACCTGTGTCCACCTATCAAATCACAACGACAAAGTAACGTTATTAGTGGAATTACTGGCTGCTATTATTAATTATTGTACAAGAGGGTCAGGACCTACGCGGACCGCCATTTTCAGCGCCATCAACGAAACCTGTTGGTATGAAGTCATTTTGATGCGAATTATTTCCCCATTCTCGGACTATGAATGACTACTATTTCTCCTGCACCATATCAGGATGTTGAGAGAAACCTTCTTGTGGCTTTCTCGTTCCCTTCAACGATCCTCTTGTTCTAGAACGTCCCGCAGCAAAATTGACGGCTCAAAAAATCCCGTCAAAGGACCCCCGACGCCCCCGCAGCCGGCCGCACGCAAGCTCATCAAAGTCGACTTCTCCATGTTCGAGGACGAAGACGAAGAGGAGCCGTCGGGCACCCCCGAACCCCTGGAGCCGGGTCTGTGGTCCAGCGAGTTCTCTGAAGAGTGCGACGCGGCTCTGGAGGCCTACGACCTGGCCACACATACTTACACTAGGTAGTACCAGAACTACATATGGTATATTCAATTTACACTACACTGTTTTACCACTAACCAAACCGATTTTTTTAAACGCCTCGACATGTGTTTCGCTAACTATGTTAGCATCTTCAGATGAAGATTAAAACCGATTTAATTTTTTTTTCTGTGACGGGAAACAAGTTTGAAATTCCATCTCTGTTGAAAGGTTATAAGATGTCACTTTTCAATAAGGAAGCTGTAAGGATAAGTGGATTTATTTACAAAGAAAATTAATGTCAAAGGGTGGTTCAAATTGGGCCTAACAATATATTAATTCGATCACAGAAAAAATATTTCCAAGGTTCCGCAAAATGAGAGGGTCGAAGAGTTTATCGATGACGATGTTGGAAAATTACAATACAAAAATTACTTCATCAAAAACATATTCTTTCTAGCTGCAATGGAATAATATGGAAATCGAATCAGATTCTCTGTACAAATGTCATATTCATTGATTGCTACATTCATTTTCATCATTCCATTCATGGAATTCATAACATAACCTGAAATAATACTAGAAATTGGATCAAGGAATGCTCAAGGTACCTCTTTATCTTCCTTGGAATTGACATATCCTTGAGGCTTCCTTTGAGCAATGATGGAAGTAGGATATGGTGTGATTACTGATGCGCTTTTGTTTCAGAAATTTTACTCGACCTCTCGAGAACAGCGGGAGCAATGGTTCCGTTGATCTTTTAATAGATGGCGACATTGTACGATCATTACATCTGTCAGTTTTAAAATTGTCGCAGATTTTTTCAGAGTTGAATAATCCCACTGTTACATATGTTACGCGTACCTAAAATGCCATTTGCCATTTTATTTCCACAGGCGGTCGATTGATTTTTCTGAAATTTTCAATACGTAATAATGGCCGAATACGCGCACCGTATCTTACTTCCATCTTTCGTTGAGCTCATATTACGTCTATAAATTGGAAACTGGTCCTCAAGGGAGGAGGTCACCTTAAGGAGCGACTATAAATACGGGCCATAGTACACCTGATTCAGAAAAAGACAATCGTTCCGATTGCAGGAACACCCTGGAGGTGGTTGACCGCCCAGCGACGGGCTGCTACTCGGTGCCGCAGTCGCGGCCCGGCTCGCGGCAGTCCTGCACCAGCTCTGAGGCCGAGTCCGTACACCTCGAGCCTGAGACGGCGCGGCGGCTGCAGGACGAATTAACCGGCGCGCGCGGCTGGCAGCAGGACGTGTCGCTGGACGACAGACTGTCGCTGACGCTCGCCGAGATCGTGCACATCCGGTCGGTGCTCACCAAGGCCGAGTTGGAGGCTTTGCCGGTAGAGGGAAAGGTGAGATCATTTTATTTCTTCCGTCCTTCCTTCCTACCTTTCTTCCTTTCTTCCTTCCTTCCTTCCTTCCTTCCTTCCTTCCTTCCTTCCTTCCTTCCTTCCTTCCTTCCTTCCTTCCCTCCTTCCTTCCTTCCCTTCCTTCCTTCCTTCCTTCCTTCCTTCCTCCTTCCTTCCTTCCTTCCTTCCTTCCTTCCTTCCTTCCTTCCTTCCTTCCTTCCTTCCTTCCTTCCTTCCTTCCTTCCTTCCTTCCTTCCTTCCTTCCTTCCTTCCTTCCTTCCTTCCTTCCTTCCTTCCTTCCTTCCTTCCTTCCTTCCTTCCTTCCTTCCTTCCTTCCTTCCTTCCTTCCTTCCTTCCTTCCTTCCTTCCTTCCTTCCTTCCTTCCTTCCTTCCTTCCTTCCTTCCTTTCCTTCCTTCCTTCCTTCCTTCCTTCCTTCCTCCTTCCTTCCTTCCTTCCTTCCTTCTTCCTTCCTTCCTTCCTTCCTTCCTTCCTTCCTTCCTTCCTTCCTTCCTTTCTTCCTTTCTTCCTTTCTTTCTTCCTTTCTTCCTTTCTTCCTTCCTTCCTTTCTTCCTTTCTTCCTTCCTTCCTTCCTTCCTTTCTCCTTTCTTCCTTTCTCCTTTCTTCCTTTCTTCCTTTCTTCCTTTCTTCCTTCATCCTTTCTTCCTTTCTTCCTTTCTCCTTTCTTCCTTTCTTCCTTTCTTCTTTCTTCCTTTCTTCCTTTCTTCCTTTCTTCCTTTCTTCCTTTCTTCCTTTCTTCCTTTCTTCCTTTCTTCCTTTCTTCCTTTCTTCCTTTCTTCCTTTCTTCCTTTCTTCCTTTCTTCCTTTCTTCCTTTCTTCCTTTCTTCCTTCTTCCTTTCTTCCTTCTTCCTTTCTTCCTTTCTTCCTTTCTTCCTTTCTTCCTTTCTTCCTTCTTCTTCCTTTCTTCCTTTCTTCCTTTTCTTCCTTTCTTCCTTTCTTCCTTTCTTCCTTTCTTCCTTTTCTTCCTTCCTTCCATCCTTCCCCTCTCCCTCCCTGCCTTCCTGAGTTCCTGCCTTCAATAACTTCAATGAACGATTGACGTCTTCCCCAGGTACGCCACGACGTCGAGGCGCGCAAGGTGTGCTTCCTCTGCCTCAAAACGCGCTTCGGCATCTTCGGGCCGTGGGGCCAGCGATGCGCGCTTTGCAAGCGCACCGTGTGCGCCAAGTGCTGCTCGCGCATGCGCATCCCCATGGAGCACTTCGCCGGCGTACCCGTCGTGCTGCTCAGTCCGAGCATCATGTGCACGCCCGAAGAGGAGGAGCAGGCGGGGGCGGTGGGACGGGCGGGGGGCAGTATGGAGGGCAGCGTGACGAGCATCGCAGCGATCCGGGGCTGTTGGGGAAGTTTCGCACAAACGCGGTTTTAGTAGGTAGGTGCATAAGTCTTGGAATCGAAGTATTAGTATACTAAGCCCAAGCACTACTGGGAGTTGAAACTTGCTATTTCAGTAAGAAAATAAGAATTATTTTAATTCTGAGCTTATTGAGCCTGAGAATGAGTAGAGTTCCTAAATGTACTTGACACTGCAGGCTGTTTTGACGTTTTTTGTATATTAGAGTACGAACACTAGACAAGCAGTGACGATCAAACATACCTCCTCGCACTAGGTCGCCTACTAGGTTTTCATTTAGATCGACAATGTATAAGCATAAGCCTTCAAAAACAATCTCAAAATTTGATTGAATGGAACTTCCATTTCATGTGAATATATTCATTCATTACTGAACTGTAGAGTGCTTTCTGCTGTTGAGCCATCATCAAAGTAAGTTCAGTAAATTCAATGATAATGTGATAGATCTGTTCTTCTATAGGTCCGAATAACTACAGAATAAATACCCACTGATGAGAATTTACTAAATGAATGTAAATAGGTCTGTTTCAAAAACCGTTCATACAATACATAGTGCGTCGTCGATTAGAATTCGAGCTTTTTTGTTAATACATGACGAGCGAATAATTCACATTCCTCACTATATCATTTGACGAGCGAATAATTCACATTCCTCACGATATCATCCATTCACTGAATACAACTTACTTGCAGGTTCGTACCTGTTCTCATTGGAGTTCAAAGTTTGAATATCTGCAAACCTATCTGATGCATACCAGTCCAGTTTTCATGTATCAAAAATAAAAATCTAATCATAATGACGTAGAGAAGGTATGTCCCAAAACTACATTACTCCTAATGGAAAATTGTGAATATAACATTCCTGGAAACTCTCCATATAGTTCCAGCTTCAACGTATTTCTCGTTATATAAGCATATCCTTGAATGCCTGATAGTTTCCTCGATTCTGCTCTAGCTCCAATATCTTTCAAACTATGAAACATATTCATATTTATGACCCAGTAAATTTCCCATTTTCGAGGATGTAATTCGCTAGAGCAAATATGCAATCTCGCAGTTTGGAGTAGTGGAGATATGCTATGGGGCGCCACTCACGTATCTTGAATTCGTCTTTTCTGTGCATAACGTCATTGCTAGTCACTGGATGGTATTAGTAGAGTTCGGACACAGATAATGAGACATAGAATAGAATAGAATAGAATAATTTATTTACCATAAAAGTGCTACAAAGAACACAAGGTTTTGTCATGAGTATAAATAAAATAATATAAACTAAGAATATGATATAAACACAAACTTACACTAACAAAACATACATGCATATATATGTATGCATATACACATCATACACATCTGTATAATATTTCAATAGAGCACACATCTTTCATGACAAACGGACAAAGAACTAATCACAACATTTTATTACTTCTATAGTAATCTCGTAGACCAATATTCAACATTTTTCAAAGAATTCTTTCAGGCTATAAAAACTGTTCTACTAGAAAAAAAAATGAATTTTCTCCCTGAAAATATTCAATGTTGTAGCATTTCTTATTGTGACTGGTAGTTTGTTATATAAATATGTTGCTCCCAGCTCCCAGCACAGTACGGCGATTTCCGGCATGAACTGGTATTGAAATTCGAAATGTGAATTTCTTGCCCTTTTCTCGTGTGATACTTATGTATGGCTGTATTAAGTTGGAATTTATTTTTATTTTTATGCACAAAGCAGGATAATTTGAAAATATATATTCCCCTTATTGTTAATATTTTCTGTTTTCTGAAGGTTTCCCTACATGTTTCTCGGTATTGCAAATCGAATAAAATTCTGACGATTCTCTTCTGTATAACAAAAATCCTGTCGATTTCTGAGGCCTGGCCCCATATTATTATATTGTAACTCAAGATAGAGTAGACAAGAGATATATTCTGCTCTTTGTCTTTTGAATTTCCCTAATGGATCGCGTGCACGATGACCGACCCTGCTGGAGGTAAAATATTGAAACACAACCTCACTCTTCTGTGAAACATTGAAACACAACTTCACTTTTGTTTATTTGTTTACAGAGGAATCAAAGGATTGAAATAGTTTTTCACAATATTTTGGCATATGAATCGTGTTTCCTTTATGTAAATGTAAAAAACAACTCTCAAAAGGTTTTTAAAACATTCTGATTATCATAGATATTCTACCAGGAATGCTCATGATTTTTATATCACTAGACACAATCTATCTCGTACTGAAAAATCGCCGGACTATTTAGGAATGAAACACTACAATCATTCACCTCATCAAATCAGAGAAATGAATTTGACCAAGTTCAAATCGTCAATAGAGCGCATATTGACTCAGACCGCTTATTATAATATAAATGAGTACTATGAATCTATCTTGCTATAACGGCATAGTGTATTAAATTGGTAGTGTGTACACCCCAAATCGTCAATTGGTGTTCTTTTACTAAAATTGTCTATTGTCTATTCTTTTTACTTCATGTGTAGATTTTATTCTATTTACCAAATTATCTGTAAATGTTAATCCTTTTATCCTAGGTGTAAATCTTAAATTGTAATTGTAATTCTCATTTTCTTACGTGTAAATCATAATTTTAAATGTCTTGGCCTATGCTGCATACTTTCTTAAAATAATTTTTATAACTGACGTGTATATCCATTTTCGGACGGCTGCTGTATGCTAATACGAATTAACATTATTATTATTATGCTTGCCAATTTTCTTGCATTCTACATGACTGATCTTAGTTTTTGTGAAAGAAATTCACCTGAACGAATATAGAATATATTTAAAAAATTGGAAAATTCCTCATATTATTTTTGCACATTTTATAACATTCCACTGTATCAAATCACTAAGTTCATTTAGAAAGATTCTTCTCTCTGCAAATACGTCGAGGTGGTTGGAATCCTTTATGGACACCATATGGGTCTAATCCCCCATGATACTGTGGGAGTCCCTTGACTTTAGCCAGGTATACCGACAAAACACTCCACCCCGCTTGTGAGCATAGAAAAGCTAGTTAATTTGAGTTGTTAAAGCTGCTATGCTAGAATCAATTGATTTCCGTATTTTAGGAAGGGCCAGAGCAGCTGAAAGGATGCGCGGTTCCCAGATGATAGTCTGTCTCGACTGCAAGATAATGGTGCTCCAGATCATCAAGTCGGCGAGAGCCAACAGATCTGCGATACGCAACAAAACCATACAGAGTCTCACTCTAAACCTGTCGCCAGTGTTTTAACCGTGATATTTTAATCGTGCCCTGTCCCCTCAAAAGAGAATGCAGTAAGTGGAAAATTGATTATTCAGGCTATTGGAAAATGTTACTATAATACACAAATATGTGGAAGATATTCACAAATAAAAAAAAACCAAATTATTTGAAATGTCGACACTTATATTGTCATCTAGGTTTCCACCTTCGGTATACTTGAATCTCCACGTCATTGGCATCTCTGTAGGCAACTATCTGCAAAAAATTGAAAATTCTATTTTGCACTTACCGCTTTTTCATGATGGCAGTATTTACCCTTGAAGTTGATTCCAGGGAATTATAGATATATATCAACCCACACCAAAGATTAGAATAGTATTGACACCTGTTTACTCTTTCGATCTTCCTAATCAAATTAACAGCCCGTTCGAGAAATAACAGCCCGTTCGGGAAAAACAGTCATTTCAGAACTTGTATTGCTTTTTTTCTGAATAATTGTTGGACTCTCTCTCTCTCTCAAATTCTTTATATAGAGATGAAGCTTTTTTTTATGGCAGTAAAGATTTAGTTAGAAAGCCAAACACATATTCTGTTGAACATTCCTATAAATTTACAAGGCGATGGGGCCTAGGAAGGCGGGCAAGACAATTTATGATTGAAACTATCAATTGTCAAAACTTCACAGACGACAAGATTTCCACAAAATTCTCAAAAACATTAAATGTTTTGCTAACACATTAGTTTCCAGTGAAATACTCCTACAACACAGACCTAACATCAAACGAATTATTGAGGTCTGGTTGATTTTTGCGTTTTTTGCTTTCTAATGATTCCAAATGGTGAAGTTCTATTCCTTTATTTTCTTCATGTAAAATTTTGTAATTGTCATAAAGACTACGAATTTCATTCAATATATGGTTATCATGATTTCTTTTTTAAAAAACTCATTTTATGTTCATGAATGCGGTGGCTCCACGTCCTACCAGTCTGACCAATATATACCTTTAGACAAGTTCTACATTTCAGTTTGTATACTTCTGGTTTTTTGAACTTCAAAGTTTTATCTATATTAATGTTTGATAACCAAAAGATGAACCAGGTCAATATTATCTTGAACTAACACTTTTTGTTTCAAGTTATTGGGCTGTTTTATTGTCAAATGTTTTATTTTCCTTCAATCACTCTCAATAAGTTCATGAGATTATTTTTTTATTATGATTCAAGTCTGATTTTTTTAGACTTAATATGAAAGCGGAACTAAAATGGCTTGTAATTAAAAAAAAACAACTATCCAAAAATATTCCTGCCACATTACTTAAAAGTTCTTTGAATGTTTGAAGAATGTTAGTTTTTGCATTTAATTAAGTCATCATGTTCCTAACTAGATTTTAATTCTTCATAATTGCACATATTCTTGACTTCAATTCTATTTGTGGAATAAAATGGATATTGTGAAGTGATTCACTGAATCATTATTTTCAAATTGAGTTTTTTAATTGGCTTGAAATTTGTATGACCTCAATATTTGTTTTTATCAATTTAGAATAGTTTTGATGTTATCCCATGTGTCCATAATAAATATAATAGTAAAATTCATTAAAAAATGGAAATACCTCCAATTCAAAGTCGCTCATTAAAATCGGCACCTCAATCTAAATTATTATGGAGTGTTTATGACTTCATCTAGATGATATTATTTTCACTTCAATGTACTTTTACTCAACAAAACCTGATATTCTTGGTATGTATTATTCACTTAATTTCCATCCCGTACCTGGTTCCCCATTGATGTAGCCCACTTTACCAAAACAGTTCTTTGCAATCTTTGTATTATGAATTACAAATCACATTCGCCGCATTAGACATACACTTCCTATCTTCCTGTGGTGATAATATAGATTTCCTTTTGGATGACAAGCCATTTTAAATGTTTACTAATTTACCAAAAATTGATCAAAAACTTCCTACCTACTGAAATCAAATATCTCATGAAATGGACAAACTGCAACTCAATCTGAATATACTATAGATTCTTTCACTACCCCAATTCTAATACAACTGACATTTTGATAGATAGATAGATAGATATATACTTTATTGTCCAAGAAGATTCTTATTGACAAAGTAAGTTATAAAATTTGTTTGTTACAACAACAGTAAGTTATAAAATATAAATTTGGTCATCCTTCAATTGAGTTTGAATTTTAAACGGATACTGTTTTCATTCTTGAAGATTTCTATAATATATTAGTTATAGAAATTAAAGTATGAACAAAACAAGAGAATCTCAAAATATTTTACTTACATATTTGTGGACATAATAATAAGTTTTTCATATATTATCATATATATCACTGATAAGACAAACTGCACCTACCCATAACCTTTCTTCGAATTTGTACATCAAATGCCCTAATTTACTTCATTTTCTGGTGGAAGTTCAGTTGGATTTCAATGTTTCACATAACAAAACGTATAAAAGTGAAATCCCTAGGATTATTCTATTTTTGTTCATATAATATTTCAGTTTCCGTTTCAAGACTTCTAGACATTTTTTGAAGGTATAGTAAATATCAGTCCTTTTAGACTTGGAAATTTCATATCGGCAATACTGATAGGTGTACCGGAATCAGTAATTAGATTACCACTACATTTGTGCAGTTTGTCCAATTTGTGCCCAAACAGCTGGTACCTACAATAATCTAAGGACTTCAGCTCTAGTCTAAAGTAACTCGTTTGTGGCACCAAAACCTAAAATATGGATGTGAATTTTGAATATACATTAGATTAGAATATTTAAAGAATTGTTCTGGTTATATTAACTTCCACAAAAACAAAGAAAGACAAAACATTCCAACTTAGCTTAAGATGTTGGGATTTCTGGAGCAAGATTAAGAGATGATATAGCTGAATGATATAGGGAATAGATAATTATAGTAATTTATTTTGGTAAATGTTAAGTTTATGTGAACTGAATTTATCCTCTCAATGTATAAGAAAATAAAGATTATGTTGACTGTTGAACCATATTTTTTCATAAGCACCACATAAAATCCCTGAACACTCATATCCGAACATGGAGAATAGGGGAGATATACCCATTGGAAAAGGACGAATTTAGTTGTGGGTGTACCATCAGCTGCAAAAATATCGGGAGACAATTTTGGACCATCATGTATACAGGGTGTTTCAAAAAAACCTAACCCCCTTGCTAGGGTAGGTAGAACATTGCAAAATAAGTTGGGTTTGCTCAGTGAAAAAATGTAACGGCATTTGTTTTCATGATACAAGGTGTTGAAAAAAACACATTTTTCACGATTATTCCAAAACTACTGGCAACATTGTGATGAAATTTTGTATGGATGTTTCTTGAAATCTGACACATCCCATGAATTTGTTTTTATATCTGACTCTCATAGAGGGCGCTAGTTACACGGTTCATACCGAGTAGTTTTGAACATAACTTTTTTGAGGTTAGATTTTTCTATCCAAATATGATATGAACTTGAACATCATTCAATTTTACACCAAAAGGTACTCTTGGTGAAACTCAATACTATGTTCCGTTGTCGGAATATTTCCATTTGAAAATAATAGAGTATAGTAACTGTTGCTGGTATAAAGCTATGTTTAGAGTGAGTATTATGAAAAATTATCACCTATTTATTGAAAACCGAAAACAACGATACATTTCTGATGAAAAACTCATTGATTAAACAATGAATCACAAGAATAACATCAAAACAGATTTGACTAAGAACATGGATTTCACAGTTTTGTTGTATCTTGAGCAGAAAGTCTATGCTACATAGGTAAATTCACGTCAAGAGTTGTGAGACATAATTGAACATCACTTAAATGACCTATAACAGCTGATCCTCAACCGTTCAGAAGAATAATACATTCTTTAAAAAAGAATATAGAATCCTGTATTCCTCGAACCGTCGGACATTTTGAACACTTACTCTAACTGATTCAATATTTCATGTTTCTAGTCAAATATCTCTTAATTTTCTACTTAATATGATTCTTTGTTCCATCCATAACTTTAGCACAAGAATGATTTTATTGTTTTTGAACCTGAATAAATAGGTAATTGAACTCAATAAAAATCATTTTATACCAGCATCATTACTACTCTATTATTTTCAAATGGAAATATTCCGACAACGGAACATAGTATTGAGTTTCACCAAGAGTACCTTTTGGTGTAAAATTGAATGATGTTCAAGTTCATATCATATTTGGATAGAAAAATCTAACCTCAAAAAAGTTATGTTCAAAACTACTCGGTACTCGGTATGAACCGTGTAACTAGCGCCCTCTGAGAGTCAGATATAAAAACAAATTCATGGGATGTGTCAGATTTCAAGAAACATCCATACAAAATTTCATCACAATGTTGCCAGTAGTTTTGGAATAATCGTGAAAAATGTGTTTTTTTTCAACACCTTGTATCATGAAAACAGATGCCGTTACATTTTTTCACTGAGCAAACCCAACTTATTTTGCAATGTTCTACCTACCCTAGCAAGGGGGTTATGTTTTTTTGAAACACCCTGTATACTCAGATGGTGGATCTCAACATTGATTAGCACACTCTTCCAAAGTAAAAAGTGTTTGTAATTTCATGAGATTATTATTGGGACTATAATACTTATTCCTTATTTGAAAAAGCCAACATTTTTCTTGATTAAACATAAGCAAAATTTTGAGGGGTTGGTAATTTGGTGTGGGCAAGGAAGAGTTTCAAGCTACAGCATACTTTGTAGTTATAGGTGAGGCACAAGAAATCTCATAATTTGCATTCCTTATCTCAATCATACAAAAAAATCGGTTATAGCAAAATTATTTTATTTTCAGATTGTATAAACATTCCCTCATTTGAAACAAAATGTACCTGGACAATAAATGACAAGTTATTAAAATTCCAATTATATGTGGCTCTAGACATAATCTCAAATTAAAATGCAGGGTATAAATTAAATAACAAAATAATAATAATTTAAAATAGCACTAAAACTTCTCTTCATGTAATCCATGTTTGAAAAACATCATGACTGGAACTTGGTCACCATTGATGTCTCTATATTCCATCAGTCCTACCATACCATCGATTTCCATGGATTCTCCAGTGAAGAATTGGAGCTCTTTAAACCTCCCCAAGATGTCTTTCATAACTTTATTCATATTGGTTTTGAATACATCAACTTGATCTGGAGCTGATTCTTCTAGTTTAGCTACTAATCTGAAAAGTTAATGATACCTTTGATGCTGCCATTCTTCTGGAACAAGAAGGCCAGGGACTTCAACTGTATATTTCACACTATATAATCACTATGCTGAGCAAAATTTTAAAAAAATGCAGATTTTTTATAGAAAAATTCTGGAAAAATGAACATCTGTCTCCTTGGTTGAAATACAGATAGTACACTTAAACTTGGTTGTACAAATTAATTTACTTGCTCAAATACTTAGTGGTAAATATACTGCCCAACCAGGCAACTACTTTGTTGAACACAATTTGAAAATACCCTGGAGACTTTGTTATTCCCAAGAAACAACATTTGTGTATAGCAGGGAACATAGTGAATACATAAATATATTTGACAAAATAAAATAAAGAAGACAGTAAAATAAGACTCACTCTCAAAAAGAATCATTTTTTTTTCAAGTTCAACTGAAAATGATTCTCAATTGACTCAGCTGTTAGGTACCCAATTGAAAACTATAGTAGTTGTACAAGAAAACTATAAAAATGAGATAAGATGTCAATATTGCAGGAGTAGATGTTTCTTGAATTCTCTTTTAAATTTTTCAATCCTATTAATCAGCTTCAAGTTATTTGGTAGTGAATTGTATTGTATCATTCCATTGTGATAGATGAATTTATTGCCAATATCTGATTTAATTTTCTTGACAGAAAAATGATCTGCTTGTCTAGTTGTATAGTTGTGTTGATTACTAATAAATGTTGAAACTTCAGCTGGTCACTGTCTTCAGTGATAACAATGAGGTGAACTGATACTTTCTTTAATCTTGCATGAATTGCTCTGAATGACATTATAGGAATGTTATCCAGTATTAGTACATGCTTTTTCAATTCCTAAATATATAATAATAACAATTATTAATATATTAATCCCAAAAAAACACATGCTTATGGAAGGACACAATAAAAATTACTGAATTAATGAATGCCATATTGATAAAAGGTGGATTTTTCAGACATAAACAAAATATAGATATAATTCAGAGGGAGAATATAGTTTGCTGTTTATTTCTGTAGAAATGTTATTTTGTTGTTCCTGTTTCAGAATTTTGGAGAAATAAATAAGTAGGTATAATGAATTTTATATCTTTCAGACTAAAATGAGTTTGGTTTTGAACAAATAAAATTTGATTAGTACCTAAAATAGACGGACTTATGCTGCACAAATTTACACCAAACTATCACTTACATTTGTTGAACCTCTTATTAGACATGGTTAATTTTAGGCAGAGAAATTAAAACTATACTTGAACTATCAAGTTGGCCAACTTTCTAGTGAAAATGTTAATTTTTGAGACTACTGCACAACTCTTGGTGTTGAATTTTATAACCTCAAAATTATGAATGATGTTTTTTGGTTTTCTCAATACTGGCTGACTATGAAGTCTTTTTATTATAAAGGCAAATGTGGATGATCCATTGATTGATCTCATTTGCCATTTGTTTCATTGCTTTTATACACTGAATACACATGGGTAGTTGTTGTTAATTTTGCTGCATAAAATACCATCAAAATAAAAGATTAATTTGTACACTAGTTCAGTTCAAGTTGAAGTTTGGTTTTAGTTATGCTGCATAAATCCACCTTAGCATGGTACAGAGATCTTTTATGGAACATTGAAGTATGTGTGAGAACTTTCTCATCTTATTATGAATTGACTGATAGTTCTTGTGATTTCTGCATGAATCCATCATAGTGTAGAGTTCCACAGAAATTGGGTGAGTATAATGACCAAGAAGATACTCACTTTTTCATATAGTCTTTGAGATATAAGGTATAGGATTTCTTGTCATTGAAGGCATATGTTTCACACAATCTGTGGTTGAGAACAATATCAACTCCAGATTCTACTGCATCCTCGGTGCCCTCGTCTGCTTCTTCTGCTGAAGGATTCGCCCCATCTAGTTGAATATCCCCATGTTTACGTGACACTAATTTTCCATATACTTCATAGACTACTTCATCCACCAATTTCATTTTGTATGTGTCTGAGAACATTTCATCTCCTGAAACGTAAAATAAAATATTCAAGTTCGAAATATGAATCAGCATAAGGTAAATACTTGTAACTGTCACCTCTATCGTTTGACAGCTGTGAACAGTTAATTTTAATTTTTACAACTTCGCGTTTGCGGATCCGAAAAATATTTCAATTAAATGAAAAACCGATGCATAACAGAATTAACTCACCAGTGAATATATCTTTATAGATCCTCATTGTCTAGGATTTTTTGGATATTCCTTGGGGAAAATCTTCAACAACCGACCTCTAAGAGAGAGCACCACAAAAAGGTCGATTCAGTAACAGTGTTGCCGCGTTGCAGGTTGTCAATTTTTCTCTTCTATTTTTCATTCTGTTCATTTCTATGATTGTGTTCAAATAACCCAGAAGCTGACGCGTCTAGTAAAAAAAGAAGAAGGGAAGTTCCTTGCTGGTCCAATTCTGGTCCACAAGATTAAATCAAAGAGCAAGAGATCCTGAGAAAATATGACTGTGGGAGCAAAAGGACATAAGACATTTGTCAATATGTCAATGTTGCTTGTCATCAGAGTTTGAGGTTAGGTTAGTTTAGTTCTTGTTCGCTGTTCGTTTGCTGCTTATGTTAATGCACGTGGTGGAATTGTCGGCTTCTTGTATTTTGCAGTATTGAAATTGAAAAAACCTGACAATAAATATGGCCAGCGACCTAGAGCAGAAAATTATTCATCAACTCGAATATTATTTCGGAGATTTCAATCTGAATCGCGACAAATTCTTGAAAGAAAAAATCAAGGAGGATGAAGGAGGATGGGTCACCCTAGAAGTCCTGCTCACTTTCAAAAGACTGGCTGGTCTATCAACTGATCAAGAAGTAATTGCTGCAGCAATTGAGAAGTCTGAAAATAAGTTGGTGGAAGTCAGTGAAGACCGTAAAAAATTGAGAAGAAATCCTGAGAATCCAGTTCCAGAATTCAATGATGACAAACGAAAAGAGATTATGGAAAGAACAGGTAAAAATGGGAGTAATTTGAAAGATGGATAATGGGATAATTGATGTTGTATAGATATTTGTTTGAATATTTGCTTTCATGACCATGTGTTTATTTCAGCCTATGCTAAAGGATTTCCACTTGATGAGGAGCTCAATGACATCATCGTTTTCCTAGAACCTCATGGTCCTATTGAGTCATGCAATCGGCGATCCACCAAAGACCATAAATTCAAAGGATCCTGTTTTATAATCTTCAAAGATGTTGACACCTGCAAGAAATTTGTGGAGGCAGAGAGCATCAAGTACAAAGAAACAGAACTGATAAGGAAGTTCCAAAAAACATATCTGGATGACAAAAAAAAAGAAATAGAAGAACGCAAGCAGGCCAAAAAAGAAAAGAAAGGCAATGCTGAAGAGAAACCTGAACAGAAACAGTTGGAATTCCCAAAGGGGGCCATTGTACATTTCACTGGCCTTGAGGAGGGCCAGAACATCTCACGTGAAGAAATCAAAGAAAAGATCAAAGAAGTTTGTGATATTGAACCTGCTTACATGGACTTCAAAAAGGGTGACTTAGAGGGATATATTCGTTTTCCTGAAGAAAATGATGCTGGCAAATTTCTTGAGAAAGTACCTGAATCAGAACTGGTTATTGACAAATTGAAGCTAAAATTGAGGTTAATTGAAGGAGAAGAGGAACAGGAATATCATAAGAAGAGTTCAGATGCTATCATTGAGATGAGGAAAAGACAAAAGACTAATGGAAGGAACAATAGGAAGCGTAGAGGCAACTTTGGAGGTCACCATGGCAGAGAATCTAAATCAAGAAAAAGGGATTAAACTATTACTTACCTATGTTATAGACCATTCCCTTAGGAAGGAGTCTTGATTTTTATTACCTAATCTAAGATGTTATGTTGAAATTGAGTTGATTACCATAGTTTTCAATATGGTTATTATTTTTTTATATCCTTAATGTGTGTAGGTACTTAGATGTTAATTATTATATGCACTGAATGAATAAAGAATATCCTTTGGACTGTGACTCTAGTATCATTTTTTCACCTTGAGGCAAGAACTGTGGAGTCTCCATGACCATAGTAATTCTCATCTACTAGGTTTTCATCTGCCTGAACTATTTTTGAGGACTTGATGTATACTTGGAGAAACAGCTATATATTTCAAGAACTACCATAGATTTGTATGAGGTTTCATGTTTTGGATCAGTAGAGAATGAAATCATTCAATCTTTCAGCTATGAAATCAATAACCAGCAGTCCGATCACAGATAATTGAAAATTATCACAAAATTATCCAGACTGATATAGAGATTTCATCTTTGGTATATGATATGGCCACTCAATATGATACAAGAGTAAGGTTCTTCATATCTGGGAATTGTTTTCTTCCATTGATGATCATTACTTGATTAATATAAATAATATACAGGGTGATTCCGAATTCGATGTAAATATTTCAATTACACATTGTTGGGATCAAAATAAGACTTTTTCTTTATATAAACAAGTGTCCAAAAATTCACCCCCTCCAAACTACAGTCACTGTAAGTTAGGTAAAGAAAAAATATATTCTGAAATTGTGACTAAAATAACGGATCAAATCTTCTGAAAATCTGCAGGACTGCAGGCCCCTGTCCTTGTAGACAATTTATTTCATTATTTCTTCAAAAATTATGAAAACCCATTGGGGGGTTGGAGGCAAGTCCTCACTTTTATTGGCCGAAATGGAATGAGATTTTCGGATACATGTTTATATATGGAGAGAACGTCTCATTTTGATGCCAACAAATACATCCTTGAAATATTTACATCGAATTTTGAATCACCAATCACCCTATATAATAACTGATTACATTACTTTCAAATTATTCGGTAGGTAAATAATACATAGGTGATGTACCTAATTATTGACCTATAGGTAGCAACTTTTTGGTGGAAAAACAGATAACTACCCTGCATGATAAAACACACTGAAATCACAATGAATAATGCTATTCCGGTCCCTTTTGGTCATTCTATGATTCACATTATGATGAAAAATCAAACTCACAGTACTTATTATGCGACTCCATATTTAACATCAAAATTGATTTCTTTGGTTTGTTACATAAATAGACAAGAATGTGAGGTTTCTTGGTTGTTTTAGGGACCCTGCGAAATTTATTACCTCATTTTGAGTATCAAATCCAATTAAATGTTATACGAATTGCGAATGTTTTATAAAATAAAGTGTCCCCTGACAATATACCAATGATGTGTTTTTGTAAATCGCATCGTTACCTAGCGAGACATGAATGTGAGTAATGTGACATCCCAGGGATGTTTGTGATGGTTACTGGGTAAGATAGGTGATGGCTTTCCAAAGGGTGATATGAACTGGGTTTCCCCTCAAAATAGTTATTTTTGTATCTAGTGCGCGAAATGCTACTTTGGTGATCGAGAATTGATTTTTTTTAACGAGGCGCACGAGTTGCAAACAACATTTTTTCTACAAACGTCAAAAATATAGTTCTAGAGTAGTAATATATGCCTAGCTTAATATAAAAAATGTCGTTGAACTGGCTCTAAAGGCCTCTCACTATCCTCCCTAGGTACGCGCACAATGTTCCACGAACATAAAAGGAATTTTCTTTCGTGCGCTTCAAGAGATAAAAACAAATAATATTGTTAAACATTCAGAAATAAATAATTTCTTGGATGTTTGCTCGATTGAGGTCTATAAGAAGTCTAAAAATACAAAAATCTCATATAGTTTACATAATAATGTCCCATATATAGTTTTTTTTTGAAAACCTTCGGTATACCATGCAATATATATACTTATGACTCACGTCTTCAAGATCAATACATTTTTCTGAAAATAATTACCTACCGCCGTAGTAGTTTACGAATAAAACATATTGTATCTCGCAAGTCGCTCAGATGACGTATATACGAATTGAAAATTTGCCGAAAATTCAACTTTTTCAAAATTTCAAATGGTACCAACAATCTTTTCGACACCATATATATATTATGTAAGAATAGAATTAAATTCGGGCATTCCCGACCCTTTTACTAACTAACTCAAACATTCATCGTTATCATCGAGTTATTCAATAAAAATCAAGACATCAATGATATACATTTTTCTTCATGTATATGGTGGTGTTATTCGAGGTACCGAATTTCGAGTCATCAAACATCAAAGGCGGCATCATAGCTTTATTCGTATCTGGTTATAGTTATTGGTGATGATCTGTGGCATAGAGGTGCTTGAAAAAGCAAACCCATATAGCACTCGACGTCCTGATGGGGACATCCAGTTTAGGTCCCATTTAGGTCTGAACGTCCGGGACCTTTTCAAGACGTACTGAAAACGTCCATTTCTGGACGGACTGGGTACGTATGATTCCGATGTACTGGGTACGTCCAACTCTGGACGTTATCGACCTTATCGAAATCATTGCATATATAATTTCTACCCTCGATCTCTGAAATCTATTCATATAGGAACCTTGCAAACATGAACATAATGCAATGCTCACAATAAATTCATTATTTACTGGCCCCACCAGATCACAAAACATCTATTCAGGTATTCTCTGCCGTGATTATCTAATTCTATAAAAGTATCGATGTGATGATGAGTCAATCGGCATTCGCACATAATATTGCTTGCTGTATACATGTTAATCTACATGTGTTCTTAAGAGGTTTTGAGCATCTGCCTAGTGATCTAAAGGTCGTGGGATCGATCCCCGGTAGGAGCGTTTTTTTTTAATTTTTTTCATTCAAAATAAGACTTTCTACTTTATCTTTAGAAATCTCTTTTTTGACTATCTGAGTGAAAAGAGGCGGATCTACGTTGATTCATGTATCCATGGTCCTGAATAGACGTACTGAAGATGTACAAACGCGCGGAATCTGGACGTCCCCAGTACGTACGAAACGTCTTGGCCGGACGTTCTCAGTATATGTTTTGGGAACGTACTCGTGCTATATGGAAAAAGATCTCCAGACAAGAGAATAAGACAATTCGTGACTTTTATTTGGAAGGAAAATAGAGTATTCTTCTATACAATACAGGGTGATTCACAGTGGATGGATTCACTCAGGATTATTCTGAAAAGTTGGTGCCTTGGATAATTATAGTTGTATTCTATCGACCTAAAATATTCTCAGCGTTGCGACGATGCCGCTTATATTGAAAAGTAGCAACAACTTAGATTTTTTCAATGGAACATATCTTGTATATCATTCCATTTTTAGATTCTTCCTGAAGAGCTGATTCCATATCGATCTATTACACTTGGGGTCTAGCGGAAATAATAAAAAAGATGTGTGAAAAATCGGCATTTTTCAACTTTAAGAGTTTGTTATGTCGAAACTTTTGATAATTGATCAAAACGGTTCTCATGTCCCTATCTCAACTTTTCATGTACTATCAATTAATATTTAGTTGAAATAAATACAGGGGGTGTTTCAGAATCAAGGTTTTTGACCACCCTGGTATTCCTAAAGTTGAAAAATTTCGCACCCTATATCTTTGTTATCATTCCCACTAGACCTCAAGTGTGATAGATCGATGAAATCAGCTCTTCAGGGAGAATCTGAAAATGGAATGATATACAGGGTGTTCCATTGAAGAAATCTAAGTTGTTGCTACTTTTCAATATAAGCGGCAACGTCGCAACGCTGCGAATATCTAGCGAAGGTCTATAGAACACAACAAATTATCCAAGGCACCAACTTTTCAGAATATAATCCTGAGTTGCGTTCTCTAGAAACGTCTATATGTCCCATCTACCGTGAATCATCCGGTATATGTTCAATGCATGAATATAAGAATAAAAGATACTCGAAAAGGAGAATGAATGATGAATATATATTTATGTGACACCCTGTGTATATAGTGTGCTATATAGGAAACCCACAATCGAGGAACACTCATTTACAACAATAACGACATAATAATTAAGGTAATTCTACATTATACTATCTAACTTGTTTATACTATTCTGTTCTAACCATTATCATTTCATAAAACCACAGAGAAAGTTGGATATTAATGAAGAATCGTGTGTTGTTGGAAGATGCAAGTTGCAAGAAAGTAAAAGGGAATATCTATATTTTAGTTAGAATCCGAACACGAACAACATCATGATAGATAGAAATAATAAGGCTTTTCGCGAGTACAAATACGAGAAAATTTCCAAGGAAGAGGATACTGAGGGCCGACCACAGTGGGACAAACAAAACGGCTTCATTTTTATCAGGGTGAGGTGAAAAATTGACGTATTACGTGCTAGGTTAATGCAGATACACAGATTTAATGTATAGATTATCAGCCAGAGCATGCAATAGTGACTGTTCGTGAATCATGATAGATGTTCTTTATTTATATTACATCAGTTTTGAATACCTATCCTATACTATTACCGAAGCTACTTCCAGCAATTGGGATGATGATAATTGATATATTTGATATTTTTGCTTGTTAAGTCAACATTTTGTAAATTTATCTTGCAAAGATAAATTCGAGATGAAAGGGATTCACACAAGGGCGGATCTAGGATTTTTCTGAGGAGGGTGCGGTTCCGAAATAACAGTCATAATATTCGAAAAAATATTTTTCTACAAGCGTGCGTGATTCACCCTATACCCGCACGCAATTTAGTTTGGCAAGTGTCATTTTCCCGCAACAGTGCGGGAAAACAAAGATATGATAAAATCGCTAATAATATAAGTGGTTGGTGATGGAATATAAAAGTTTAAGTTTGTTTGTTGCAGTATTAAGTATGTATGTTCAGAATCATCCATCAAATTGCACTATTTATTGTATAAAAATTAAGAAATATTGAGAAATAAAAATTGATTATTATAAAAATCCCCCTATAGATTTGGATTGATCTGACGGGAAACGATTATTGTTGTCATGCCAATCAAACCTCAAATAAGTTTGAAATTGTCGAAGTGACAGACACAGCGTTACTGTCATTTTCGATTCAGTGGAAACTGGAAATGCCACAATGTGATCAAAGACTTTTATATAGCTATAGGGATTCGATACAGATGCGTTATCACCAACGAAGTCTTAAGAAAGGTATGAGAAGCTATACACGCGTTTAATTGAATGGTGCAACAATAAAGAAATGAAAATAACGCTGAAAATACCGAATGAAGAATAGGTATTTTTGGCTCATTTCATAGAAGTGTCTGAAACCTATAGAGACCAAACTACTTATGGGCCTGCTGGCTTCCGCAATGAACCAACATAATACGTCAAACTGTAAGTTCACAATAGCTACTACTAATAATTAGTAGATAGAGAATATATATATCTCTTGTTATAGTTGTTCCTATTTGCTTGAATAAATAATTGAACGAATCAATCAATTTCCTAGGCTTGTGGAAAAAATATTGTTCCTAACTCATGCGGAAAGTGTCTTTCCTGCACTCGACTGCTTGCCCGAACTCCGCTTCGCGTCGTTCGTGTCAACGGCAGTCGCGTGCGGGAAAGAATATCAATTTCCGCACTTGCAAGGAAAATTACTATTTTCTGTGACGGGAAAAGATTTCGATATTTTATCTTTGTTTACAGGTAACAAAGTGTCACTTCACATTACTTATTTTCCCGGAAAAAAAGGGAGAACTGTTCTCCCGGATATTATACTAATATGTTACACTGATGTTAATGGCTTTTTTGTTGTTGTGCCAGTTTCGAAAAATAAGCCAATAACAAAAGCGTCTACGAGAAAGCGAACTGCATGACCTTTCCATTTCATCTTCCATTCCATGAATCTTGAAAAACTATACGCGGTTTCGAAAATTACTAAACAACCACTGAGTTCCCAATAATCACATACGAAGAATCATTCGAGATCGGATTTTGATAATTATTGGTGCGGGTATAGCAAGTAGGTATACCAAATTGCACACTGATGACAAAGCAAAATTTGTTTTACCACTTCTGGTTTCACCGGAAATAGAAAAAACGACCCCAACTTTTCATATTTGAAAACGGACACCCTGTATTTTGTTTGATTAATCGGTTCGGGAATATCATAACGCATTCAACGATACTAGAGGTTTGATAGGGTTATTTCAAACAATATCATTATTCAACTACGAAATAGCCACCATGCTCAAAGTGGAATGAAATGTTGAATAAATACAAAAAGCTCAAAGTCATTTCCACACAATGTTCATAAAATGAACAACAATGGTAGATTTCGGGAGAAAAACAACTACTTTCCTGGCTAATGCCACGCAAAATATTGAATTACATCCTCCCGAAATCTATTCTGGGAGAATATAATGCTTGATTTTCATAGTTTTCAAGATATATGCAAAAAACTGCAAAAAATAGGCCGCCATCTTGAATATCTCACTTCCGGTCAAGATTTCGAGTTGGTAACAAGCATTTTCGGATTCAGCAGATTTGGATTACTCATAAAACACCTTCAACTCAAATGTTATATGATTTGCTTCTAGACTCGTAACGGAAAACCCTTTTCACAAATCTAGCCCTCTGACTAGTAGGCTCGACTACATTAGACAGTTTTTCGTCCTTGGTTTAGTTAGACAAAAGGAGTTACTAACAATTTACACAGATTTACACCATCTAGATTCTAGAAGAATGTTGTATGTGCATGGATTCGAGAATTTTCTAGGTTAAATCACACGAAATGGCTCGTATACCGGGTGGCTACGGAAGTATTGCCTACGGAATATCTCAGTTATTGTATGAAGTAGGTTTGTGAAATTTGAAGCGTCGATATGATGACATAAGAGCTAGAATTTGAGCATATTGACATGTCGAAGTTAACTTCCGGTCTGACCGGAAGTAACATCAACTTTCTTATTTTAAATGGAAACCCTATTTTTTTTTCTTTTTGCTTCATTCAGCATTCAATTCCCTTTCTAATGACATATCACAAGTTGGTATTCAACCAGAAACTAGATCAGAAAAAAATTATTATTGAAATTCACCAAGTAGGCCGTGGAAAGCAAAATGAAAGCCAAAAATTGGAAAGTTGGCTATGGAAACCATACGTCACTTGATAACAGTTACTACTACTGTGATATTTTATTTTCATTCGTCGGCGTTATAAAAAGCCGCCAAAAAAAATATTGGAAAAATTGGGAAAAAAACAATACTCTGTAGGTCCATAACTTAAATAGGAACATACAACTTTTCCTTGCCTGTACTATTCAGCATAACCATTCCTTTCTAATGATATAATAGAAAGTCATTTTTTGAAATGAAATACCAAAAAATCCAATTATTATTCTTCACATAACAAAACAGATTATCGCCATACGCAACAATAAAATTAAAAATAATTTTTTTCTGATATAGTTTCTGGTTAGATACCAACTTGTGATACGTCATTAGAAAGGGAATTGAATGCTGAATAAAGCGAAAAGAAAAAAAATAGGGTTTTCATTTAAAATAAGAAAGTTGATGTTACTTCCGGTCAGACCGGAAGTTAACTTCGACATGTCAATATGCTCAAATTCTAGCTCTTATGTCATTATATCGACGCTTCAAATTTCGCAAACCTACTTCATACAATAACTGAGATATTCCGTAGGCAATACTTCCGTAGCCACCCGGTATACGTGAAAGTGCTCCCAATTTAAAACTTTTTGTGTGTTAGTAATTATTATTAAGTACCTACCTAGCCAAGTAATAATGTTTTTATTACTTATTAAGAATATAAGTCGGTAATATATAGCTGTGGCTGGAATTGGAGTGATATTTCTGATGGGGATTTTTTTGTTAGGTTCTGTTAGGGGTTTGGAGGAGGTAGGGGTGGGTAGAAACGATAGATTCAACTTGAATTGGTATATTGTTTCACAAGCGGAAGCTTTCGTGACTGTTCGAACTAAGAACGGCTGTCATATCTCTTATTACTCTTCCAATTTTGATAGTCACTACATAGCCCTAATAACACACTTATGTCCCATGGATATCCTTAGGACGTCCTGTCGGGACATTCAGGACGTCCATAGGGCGTTCGAATTTGGTACCGTGGACGTCCATTGGACGTCTGAGGGACGCACAAATGTCCCACTTGAGGACCAACTAGGGACTTCCTTGAGGGATGTCCCTGGGAAAACTATCGAATACCTAAATCCTACAGTATTTGTCATCAAGCACTACAGAGGACATCCTTAGGACATCCGTAGGACAACCTACCAGCAACGCTGAGGGATATCAATTGGATGTCCATAGGATGTCCCAGGGACGTACGAATTATTCTCGAATTTGAATTTTTCTGGATCTCTCTAGGACCAGATCTTGCATAACTGAATAGGACATCCAGTTGAGTTGATGGTCCATAGAAGGTCCCCAAAAAGTTCCCAACGGATGTCCAATGGACTTACGTGGAGGACATTGACGAGGAGTACTTATAGCCTACGAGCGATCATTCGTCGGCGAGGTGTAAGTTAACGTCCTCGCAGAGACAACTTATTGAAAGTACCGACTGGGACGTTATACCTAGGACATTGGAAGAGTACAGTTCATGTACCAATTGGGACATCCGACGGATATCCCTAAGGGGCATTCGAAGGATGTCCCTAAGGGACATTTCGATTGTTATACGATCCTGAAAGATCTGAAGTCATGCCAGAATATGTACTACTCGGGACATCCGATGGATGTCCCTAAAGAAACGTTTGAAATTATATCCCTTAAGGGACATGCCAAGGACGTCCTTGCATGGACATTCTACAATATATACCACGTGGGACGTCTAAGGGATGCTATTTCTAGGACATTTGAAATGATGTACCAGCTGGGACATTCCGTGGACGCCCTTGCTCGGACATTGCATGAGATGTACAGGATGGGACGTCCCAAGGACACTTATTCATGTTGCGGTTTTCGTTGGTCTGTTTTGAGATTTAGTTTCTCTATTACATCGTGTAATGATATGCATACCATTAGATTTATTCTATCTCAAAGTTGTATCATTATTCGTTGCTGAGATATAGCCGACAGCCGTTCTTAGTTGTTTACCCGGTACATAGGTATACGGGTTTTCAAACTTAAGTCGGCACTATTGCTAACTTTGTTATCATTGGAGCTACAATAATAATGTCAGTTATTAGATTAGAGACCCTGTATATATTGATAATTCAAGGCCGTGCCCAGATTTTTTTTCGGGAGGTCCAAGAAAAAAAAAGAATCGCCAATTTTTTTTCGTAGTAAATGGAAAGATTCGGATTTAGGCCGTCATTTCGGGGGGTCCTGGTCCTGGGCACGG